GTCATACAGGCAGGACCCTTTGTGCTGGCGCAGGAATTCGTAGAAATCCTTGAAGCTACAGTTGCTGAAACTACTCTCAGAGCTGACAGTTCCAAGCATGATGCAGGAGGGCTGGTCAGGACACACGCAAGACGGGTGGTCATGCCTCATGCCAAGGTTATGGCCCAGCTCGTGGACCATGAGCACTGCAAAGACAGTAGCATCTTCATGACAGAAAGATTCGACTCCTGCTGAAAGCTCAGACACACAGGCCCCATTGAGAAATGCTTCCCCCGTGTACTCTCCTGGATCGTAGCCTACTATGAGATGGGCAACATCGTGCTTTGCCCGACTGACCAGCTCCTCTCCTCTCCAGTGGTTGAAATTCTGCAGCACTTCCCGCAGGTCCCCAGAAATCCCCACCTGGTCCCTCTCCGTCCAGATCTCCAAACCCACCAGGACCACCTGAACGTGGATTCCCTGGCTGTAGGTGTTAACGTGGGCAAGGGTGTCCATCACCATCTGCACTGTCTTGGTCACGTTGCTATTCCACATTTGGAACCGCCTGTTGTCAACCACGACAAACATCTCCACGTACTTGGTGTGGGACCAGATGTAGTTCAGGGCCTCGCTTTCAAGTGTCTCTTTCTCTTCTTTTCTCTGTTTCTGCACACTGCTTCTGAACCTTTGGCTTTCTTCTGCGGTCACTCTGCAGGAGCTTTGGAGGTGCCCATCCATGCGATATAAGATGTGTTCAAACTGCCTCGATGTTTCAATGGGCTCAATGCCATAGACTGTTTTCTGGATGGTCATGATGCCCCTGAGGCCTGAACAGGTGCTGAGGGACACGAGGGACCCCAGCTCACCTTCTATGTATCCATCATAATAACACTCATCTTGGATAAAAAGGAAATCCAGGTCTAAGATTTCTTTGGTGTAGGTGTAGACAGGGAAGTTCTTGACAAAAAACCCTTTTTTTCAGCTTCAGGTGAACCACAAGTCTCTTGCCTCTCATGTATAACAGGTAGGATACTTTTCTTTCTGGGTATTCCCTGCCCTTGAATGTTAAGGCATGTTCTGGGCATGACTATTTCATAAGAGTAATCTATTGCTCCCAGGGCATAGGACATTCCTGTGAAAAGCATCCCTACCAATAGCAAACTTCCCAAACCAATAAGGGAAAATCCCAGACCCACACCTATGCCTTCCATCTTGGAGGCCTTCAATGGCAACATTGTCTCAGTCTCCTCTCCAGGAGAGGGCTGAATGGATCTAACCAGAGCTACAGTCACAATTATAACCCAAGTGGAGACGTTGATGATGTTGGGTCTCTGTCCCTCAGATCCCTCCCTGCTGGTTCTCTCAATAATGTGGTCCTTTCTCTTAGAGCTCTAGAGAGTGTTGATTCTCAGCCCCAGAGAATCCCAAGGTTCTCAGATGACCCACTGGGCGTCCTCACTTCCTCCATGAACCTCACTTTTGTCCTTCAGACGGTATCTCTTTCTGTGACCTCCTTGAAATAGCAGCAACCTCATTTCTCCTTGGGGTACCCTGAATGACCTCTTTTTTCTTCTCACAATGGGGGTACCAGCTACTAATCTCCTTGCCCAAGATAGGACTCAGGGAAGAAAGAAAAATCATCTCTCGTTCCTCTGTCAGCCCACAGTGGCCACCCCACCCCCCACAGCAGCAGACATCCGTTCCTCTGCTAGGTATTTGAATCCCAAAATTCCATAGCTGGGAGCCAGAGATCTGAGAGGACCCTGAGCTTGGTTCCAGGTATCTCTTGTCTGCGATGATCTGGATTCCCAAATAGAAAGTGATCTCTCCAAAGAGACATTATCTTGGTTTTGTCTTTGTATTCTAGCACCTGGCACATAATAGTTTTTTCAAGCAGTGTTTGTTTAATTAAATTAATTGAATTGTTCAAGGTCACACAGGTAGTAAGTAGCAGGGGCAGGTTTTTGATCCCCCAACTCCAAATCTAGTGTGCTTTCCAACATGTATTGTCATCCTTCCATTGGCAGCCCCAGGAGGATTGATCTTTCATTGTCATGCATATATTGTAGTAGAAGGAGACTGGTTAATGCTCCGGTGGTACAGGAGGAACCTTGCTCTAGACCCAAAATACCTTTTGAGTTCACACAGATTTTATTCAAGGAAAATTAGCAGCAGCTCCCAAGGCAGGGATGGGGAGGAGACTGATAGGGCCATGTCCAACACAGGCTACGTCTACTCCAATAAGGATCTAGGAGGATTTAAGGGACCCTTTCTTAACATAAAACATGAAAAGAATGAACCTATTTTAATTGCCCACATTATTTTTTTTTGTTATTCTTGCGCCTTTGGGGATATTGATCAAAAGAGCGGTCTTATCTGGGCTGTAACATGATCCAGTGGATGGAAAGCTCACCTTGGAATTATGAAGAGCTGGGTTCCCAGTTTGCTTCTGACTTATACTTGCTATATGACTCTGAGAATGTCACCTACTTCTCAATGCCCCCAGAGAACTCTACAAAGGTTTTACTCAAAGAAGAGCTGCCTAATTTGTGATAATGCAGAGAATTCCTATAGGCGTTGCCCTTCACTGATAAAGTCACAGATTTGGGCCTCCTCTCTGGCCCATCAAAATAAAACAAAGGTCTTGTTTAGTCTGTATTTTGATTTCTGAAAAATTCTCTTAGTGGACCAACAGGGCTGCAATTATTTCATAGAGAGACAAGTTCACTCTGTTACTCTCTGTGTTCCTTTGAAAAATCAGAGTACCTCTTGATAAGCAGCCCCCTTTTTACAATCCATTATTACCTTCTAACTCGATTGACCATTTTAATACGGATGTCCCATGGGAATCTCAAAACCAACACATGGGAAGCTGAGCTCACTCTTTTCACGCAGACATCCCTACCTCTGTCAAGGGTAGCGCCACCCTGCCGGTCACCACGGTTCACAATGTCTGTGTTAACCCCAGCTCCTCACTCTCCCTCACCTTCCGCATCTGATAAGCTGCCAATCTTGTCGATTCCGCCCTTCTCCGTGTTCTCTGACATTTCATGATCACACACCCAACCTTTTAGTTCAGACCTCCATCAGCACTCAGCTTGACTGCAATAGCCTCCCAGTCAGCTTCCTGGCTTCAAGTCCACCCTCCTCCGATCCACTCCAGGCAGCTATAGAAGCAATTTTCTTAAGTGCAGGTCTGATCTTGTCATTCCATAACCTCCAATGGCTCCCTACTGACTCAAAGATCTCATCCAAGTTTCTCTGCTGGGCAGTCCGACACAACCTGGCCCATCCACCCTATTATACATCTGTCTTGTCATATACTACTCCCATCTCTATTCCTTCTGGTCCACTCCAAATAGCCTTCTTGCTGTTCCTCACACAAGATACCTGGTCTTCCACCTCTGTGCCTTTTCCCAGGCTATTCCCCATGCCTAGAATGTACTCTCTCCTCACTTCTCCCTCTTAGAATCACTTGTTCTTTCAAGACGTATCTCAAGGAGAATCTTCAACATAAAGACTTTCCTGATTCTTCCCTGTCGTCTCCCCCAAATTTGTTATGGAAAGGCAGCTTGGCATAGTGGATAAAGAGCTGGCCTTAAAGGCAGGAAGAGCTAGATTCAAGTGCTGCCATTGACACGTATTGCCTGTGTAACACTGGACAAACGACTTAACCACTCAGTGCTCTAGAAAACCCTCTAAAACTAAAAGTTTTAGAAAAGGTGTCTACCCGCACTGGTAGAGAACACTTCCTCAATCAAATCAATCAACATTTATTAAGTGCCTACGATGTGCCAGGCACTGTGCTAAGCGCTGGGGCTACAAAAAGGGGCAAAAGAGAGACCCCGTCCTCAAGGAGCTTACAATCTAATGGAGAAGAAAACGTGCAAACAAATACATACAAAGCAAGTCTGGGAGACCCCCTATACACAGATCTGGAATCACAGATCTGGTCTCTATTGATATACATTTCTTTGTATTTAATATTATTATATATTATATGTTATACATACACATATATATGTATATATTTATATTATTCCCACACCCACCTTCTTCCCATCTTCCATACACACATACACATACACTCTCCTCTCTCTGCGTTTGCTCACTGAACCCATATGCATGCCTTCCCACAACTACCATTAAAGTTCTAGAGGTATTCTTGAGGGGTGAGGGACTACTTCCCTACTGTAGTTCCCCAGCTGTTGGTGTGCTTCCCACAAATAAACATGCCAATTGATCCAATTAATTCTTACCAAAGGCAAAGGAAGAATGGTAATTTCATAACATTCTACCCAAAACCCTGGGGTGCCCTCTCCCACCAATGTATACAGCATCCATGGAGGGAAAGTGAACACAAACTTAAAATATCATCATGGGGAAGCCCACAAGTAAGGAATACATGTATGGGGTTGAGCCTCATACTGATGGTTATGGTATTGGTGCTGAACAATTCCATTTAGCAGCCCTATTTTTTTTTTTTTTTGCTTAGGCAACTGGGGTTAAGTGACTTGCCCAGGGTCACACAGCTAGTAAGTGTCAAGTGCCTGAAGCCCGATTTGAACTCAGGTCCTCCTGACTCCAAGGTCAGAGCTTTATTCACTGCGCCACCTCATTGCCCCAAGATGAGATTTTTTTTTTCCTTTTTTTTTTAGGCAATTGGGGTTAAGTGACTTGCCCAGGGTTACACAGCTAGTTAGGTGTCAAGTGTTTGGACGGAACCCTGAGTTGAATTCAGGTCCTCCTGACTCCAGGGCCAGTGCTCTATCACTGTGCCACCTAGCTGCCCCAAAATTCTTTATATTTTTGAGATATTAGGCCTTTATCTGAGAAACTGTCTATAATATTTCCCCCCAATTTTCTATTTTCCTTATGATCTTGGCTACATTTGTTTTATTTGTACAAGACCCTTTAAATTTAATATGATCAAAATCATCAGATTTATACCTCATGTTGCTCTCTCTCTCGTTTATTCATAAGCTGTCTGCCTATCCATAAATCTGATAGGTAATTTGTTCCATGGTCTTCATATTTTCTTTTATATCTCTCTTTATATCTAGGTCATATATTCACTTTGACTTTATCTTGGTAAATGGTATAGGATATTGGTCTATGCTCAATTTCTGCCAGACTGCTTCCAGTTTTCCCAATAATTTTTTACCCAATAATGAATTCTTATCCCCAAAACTTAAGTCGTTACATTTGTCAAAAACAAGGTCACCAAGGTAATTTGCTATTGTAAATTGTATGTCTACTCTGTTCCACTGATCATCTACCTTTCCATTTCTTAGCCGTTAACAGATAGTTTTGATGATTACTGCCGTAAGATACGGTTTAAGATCTGGCACTGCTAAACCTCCTTCCTTTACATTTTTTCATTAGTTCCTTTGATATTCCTGACCTTTTGTTCTTCTAAATAAATTTTGTTATCATTATTTTCTAACTCAGTAAAACAATTTTTGGGTAGTTTAATTGGTATGACATTGAGTATATAAGTGAGTTTAGGTAAAATTGTCATTTTTATTATATTAGCCCTGTCCACTCAAGAACAATTAATATTTCTTCTTCATTTTTTCTGTTTCTATTTCTACCCTTACCAAATGTTGTCCCCCTCCTTACATGTGGGCGCTCTGGCCACAGGAATATAACTTTTGGTCCCTTATATTTTATAAGACATTTTGGGGTTTGAAGACTAGTCTTTTTTTTTAATTTTTTACTTCTATTTATTTTTTTTCTTTCTCAAAAAACTGGAACAATTTACTTTTTGTCCTGCAATTTTCATTTGTGATTTCTTGAAATATAGCTCTGAAAAAATAGGCTTTTAAAAAGCCCACTGTGTGAATAGAGCTCTGGTCTTGGAGTCAGGAGGACCTGAGTTCAAATCCAGCCTCAGACACTTGACACTTACTAGCTGTGTGACCCTGGGCAAGTCACTTAACCCTGATCTCCTCACCAAAACAAAAAAAGAAAAGCCCATTGTGTTCTCTTCAAGAACAAAGGACAAACAATAACAACAATTATTAATATTTATACAGAGCTTTCAGATGTTCAAAGCACTGTACAAACATGGTGGCAAGGAAGGCCTAGGTTCAAATTCTACCTCTGACACCTCCTACCTGTGTGACTGTGGGTAAGTGGTGGCATCTATTGCATGCTCAGTTTCCTCATCTGTAAAATGGAGGGTTAATGATACTTATAATACTTTACTCACAGGGTAGTTGTGATAATCAAATAAAATAATGTTTCAAATTCAACAAATATTTGTTGAGCGCCTACTGTGTACTCTCTGTGCTAGATTCTAGGGACAAAAAGACAAAAATGAAAAACAGTCCCTAACATCAAGGAGTTTTATATTCTACCGGAGAGAAGGTACGTACGATATACTTTGCAAACCTGGAAACTATGGTGACTTCTGGCCCAGAACTCCCAAGACTCTGGACTACATCAAAATTCAGAGTCTGACCCTTAAGTTTCTCTCTGGTTCATTACATCCAAGCCTGGAATCTACTCCAAAAGAAGTCCAAGTATTGCTAATGTTAATGGTCTGAAATGCTGTTAATTTTCTGAGACCCATTCATGAACTCATATTCAAGTGGATCCATAATCCTATCAGTTTAAGATTTCCTTCACCCTCATTCCACGCAGGCTCCCGTCCTGTGGACAGAGCTCCTGCCCATGTCCACCCATAAAGATACCACAGGGGATCCACCCAACATGCCAGTGGCCTTTCTCAATTTCTCCTGATATCACAAGAGTACCAATGGAGCCCTTGGACTCTCCATCTGTCCTCTGTCCCTCACTCTTTGGCAAACCCTTTAGCTGGCACAGCCTAAGAAATCCCAACCCCCTCTTCTAACTAGGAAGATGAAGTTCAAAAGACAC